GTGTGTGTGTGTGTGTGTGTGTGTGTGTGTGTGTGTTTGAGTGTTTGCTTGAGTGTGTATTTCCTTGTGAGTGGGTGTGAGATCTGCGGTTTCTCACAGTCGGTCCCGTTCTTCGTCTCTCTCTCTCTCTCTCTCTCTCTCTCTCTCTCTCTCTCTCTCTCTCTCTCTCTCTCTCGCTCTTTCTGACCCACCATTCCTCCCTCCCTCTTCCTCCGAGATGCTCATGGCAGTTATATGTCACGTTTTTACCCATGACATACTGTCCCTCAAAAATACTACTACCCATAATGCCTTGCACAGCTGCCACTGAATATCCTTCCCAAGTACCTTGTCCCCATCACAAGTCAGTATCACATTAGTGCAGACCAAATGGCACAACTGTAAATTTTGGGAAAGAGGCTTTGGTCATCATTTCTGTGTCGTCTCTTAGGTTTTTATTCGCACTTGAGTGACTTTTTTCAATCCATAAATGGAAATTTCGTTCGTGCAATGCTTTACCTTCATTCTGACCCCTGCTCACCCTGCTCTCTTCAGTCACCCCAGCGTCATTCGGGGTCATTCCTCTGTGACATCTCCTTATGTGTGAGTGTGTGTCTGTCAGGCCCGCATTTCATCTGGGAGCCCTTGATTGTGTGACACCCATGTGCGGCAGATGAGACGGCCTGTCAGTCAGCTGCGGCTTGGCTGCCCTTTGAAGGCCAGGCCAGGGGGCGAAGAGGTGCCGCAAATGGCCTGTGAAGTTTACATACACTGCCCACTGCTAAACAGATTAGCTCTAATGAAGTGTCTAATGCCGGGGCTGCTGTCTGACATAATCCTGCCTGGCAGCCTGGCCCCTCGGCTGCCAAAAAAGACGCCCTCCCTCCAGCCCTCTCCTCCGCCCTCGCACGGCCTCTGCTGCCACCCAAGGCGACTCCACACGGGGAGGTGCCCACTGTTAATCATGCCGGACAGTGTGCGATCTGACATGCAAATGTAGGTCATTGCATATGTAAATGTGTGATTACTGGGCTGGCATGCCAGGACACATTAGCAAGACTGTGCTCTCAGCAGGCGGTTGTCACAGCGCTTTAGAGGCTCATGCTAACATTTGTCAAGCTACCACGCAGCGAATGAAAGCTATGCCCTCTTGTCCTCTTCTCTCTCTCTCGCTCTCTTTCTCTCTCTCTCTCTCTCTCTCTCTCTCTCTCTCTCCCCATCGTTTTTACAACACCTCAATCTGTACAGCAGACAGCACAGTACATACATTTCATGCGGTCACCTCCCTGCAAATATTACACTATTTCCATTTTTTTTCCAGATCGCAACCCCCCATCAACATAGTTCAACATGTAACGTCACAATTTCTGGTCATGTTTGTCAGTGAGGCACTGTGCTGGAGCTGCCATAGAGGTGTCATAATGTTGAATAATCTATTGTGGTGGCCTGTATGGTAGCTGTCAGAGTGACTTGCAGACATATGGAGGCAGAGTCACACAGAAATAGCAAACACACTTCAGAGGGGCTCATTCGACCCATCACCTGACACGTACAGGCTTCTTCCTTTTGCCATCAGTTAATGGAAATGATAAAATGCTTTTCCCTTTACTTCAAACCGAGTTTTTTGACTGCCATGAAAGCTGATAGCCATGACTAGAGATATGTAATGGCCCGCGTGAACCAGAAATAAAACTATAATTTACGCCTTTTGGACATCACATTAATATAAACATTTTTAAAAAAGACAAAAATGGATGTATGTTTTCCACAGGACAGCAATGATACATTACGTTTGGCACAATGACGATCTAATTCCTTATGAAATATGTTTTTTTTTTTTTTTTTTTTTTTTTTTTGGGGGCTCTCACCCAGAAGAAAGATGCCTGGCTCACTAAAACCCCACCTCTTTCCGTGTGCTGCCGCACCCGTTTCATGATGTCGTCCTGAAATAATGACGTCATCCGGTGTGCCTTATGTATGGAAATAGACTTGTTCATTGACATTGCGCCTAATAATCTGATGTTCTGAAAAATACAGTAAATGTACCAATGGTGTTCAAATATTTTTGCCTCGCTTGTCTACCAAGTGTTTGTAATTACCAATGCTGTTAACACAGGGCAACTGTGACATAAACATTCTCTTGGCTCGCGGTCTAATTAATGTCCACTGTATATTTAAAAAAAACCCATTATATATGTGTTTTGAAAAATAGTGTTTTATTTTGCAAGATTAATTGTTTCCTACAACACCAGACACAAAGGCAGTCAAGCAATAGATAGACCCAACTAAACATCTTCACATTCGCCGCTGACCTGGTTAAAGTACAGACTACAGCCCACATCCGACCTGTCCACTCACTGCTTCTGGCCAGTGCTCCTGGTCTGTAATGAAACCTAAAATATTTTTATTTTGATGTGTGTGCTCACCCACAACGATGTGTTGCTGACTTTGTGACATTGTGGCTATATTTACGGACTTTTTCCAACCGATCTAGTCACTATTTTTCAATAATTGTTCATTATTAAAACATGAACCATGAACCAGATTGGTTTCAAACATGATTTATAGAATTACAATGCACTTACAATAAGTGGACTATTTGAAAGGATTGGTCGTATAGTAAATACCACAATAGGGTGTTAGGGATTTTTCCTGTCTTTATATTGACTCAGCCTAATATGTGTGCACAAATGTGTCACTCTTCACCAGCCTTATGCCAGTGAAATAATCAGTGGGTCAGTCATACCCTGTCTTTTCCTCTGGTATCATCTAGCATTGAACTCAAAAAGTGTCAAGTAATGTCTGTTTTTTTCCCCCTTCCAATTTATCTGGAATCTCACTTCACTTGGCTGTATGTGAAGAGTCATTCATATGTGTGTTTTGTTTTCCCAGAAACCTTTGCAGCCAGACATGGGCCACAATTCGCTTGCTAACTTCCAGATTGAGAAGAAAATAGGCCGGGGACAATTCAGTGAGGTTTACCGGGCAAGGTATCTGCTAGACAACACATCTGTGGCCCTGAAGAAAGTCCAGGTAAGAATCCATTACCACTTGCAAGTCTCTACACTAACTTTTGTATTGGTAGCACCTGTGCGACCAACTAATTCAGTTGGTTCCAATGATTAACTAATTCATTTGCTCGCACCAGCACAGATTTGGTCGCACCCTTTTTTTGGGGGGGTGGTACAGATCATGTTTGCTGATTTGTAGTCGCCGCAATTGGAATAGCATAGTTTCGTATGATGTAAAGATTTCCAGCGACTGAAGATATTTGCAAAATATTTTCGTGAAACAACTTTGTTTGCAATACGCAGTGGTTGACAAAACAGGTTAGTTATTTTGTACAACTTTAAAAGAAGACAAAAATACGGAACAATAACATGGTAAAAACTTAAAACATCAATGAAATAATAGCTGACAGTTAAACAACTTCATTATTTTGTACAAGTTCAACAAAACAATATAAAAATATGAATCTGAATGCTTTCAATTAAAAAAAAAAAACGTTCTGAACATTTTTAAATACTTTAGACGAATTGAACACGAATTCTTTTTTTTTTTTTGTTTACAGTTTTTACACACTACTGAAATATTTGTTTATATCCAGGACTTAACAAAGTCTTAAGGCCACCAAAAAGTTGTATTTATTTTATTTTTTTTTTTTAGTTTGGAGAATAAATTGGAAAATCTCATTGGATATATAACATTTGGCATTCCAACCTCTGGACTGATGGATGGAAGCCGAGAGGTTTGATGAGGAATTATGACATTCGTGACAGTCTGGAATGTTGATTTTAACTCGCAAAGAAATCTCACTCCCATCATTCTTCTTGATATGTCAGCTTTTATTGATTGATAGAAATTATTTTGAGAGTTGTAACACTAAAACATAGGTTTGCAAATTCTTAAAAATATGAGGGACAAAAATCCATCTAAATATCTGCCTCTAAAAAACAATATACATGTAGATTGACGTTATGACATTACTGTTGAACATAGAAGTTGAAGTGTTCAATTAGAGGTTATGTATGTCCAGGTTCAACTTTTATACATTCACTCACTAACACATTGCATGTTGATCCAGTCCATATGAGTCTTTCAGGTGTTAAACACTATAGTCAATGAAATGCCACCTCTCGTACAACAGCAACTATGTTTCCCCGTGTTTGTTTTTTCTTTTCGCTACTTTCTGCAGAACTCTCCTTACCTTGTAATTGTTGAACGTGCCATAATGTGCATCTGTGTCCACTCTCTATCCCCCCCACTCCCTTTTTTGATACCCTAATAGATATTTGACTTGATGGATGCCAAAGCTCGGCAGGATTGCATCAAAGAGATAGATCTCCTTAAGGTAAGCAACCCTAGAAGAGGCGAGATCGTGTGTTTTGCAGGAATCTTTCTTTTTAGGTGGCTCAGCAGAGTCCTTGCACCACAATAAAACAATTCAGCTGCACAATGCATCTTGGATGTATGTGTGAAGTGCTCGTGCGTACATTTGTAGTTTGCTTCTTTGTATGGGTGTACAAATATATAGCACAAAGGAAAGAGTGAATGTTTGGGCCTGACTGAAAAGTACTTGCAATCTCTGAAGTGTTTGAGTGAGCATGCCAGTGTATCTACAGGAGATGACTCCAGGCTTGGAGACTCATCATCGATGGCTACTCGGATTAATTTTTTTATTGCTTCAAATGGGACGTCCATGTTACCAACATGTTTCTTTTACTTTAGCTGTCTTTTCACCCCCCACCCCCAAATGAAGTGATATTCATCAAAGTCTCATTGAGTGTCTGCCAGATTGTTTTGCTTGTAACTTGTACAAAAAAAAAAAAACAAAAAACCTTTTTTTCATCTTCATTCGTAACGTATGTTTCCAGATTATGTTTGCCTTCACATCTGTGCTCGTCTTCCATGTATGATCACTGCAGGCTGTTTATGCTTGTATGCTTTCTCACATATACGTTCAGAAGACGAAGGAAACTAATTCAATTAGTTTGTGCCACTCTAAACACTCCAGTGTAGCTCCAGGGGTCGATCAAAGACAAGGATACGCGGATGCAGACACCGCATTGTAGAGATATGTAAACTGAGCAGCCCTTCTGTGACTTAATGCCACAAGACATCAGGGTTAACCTCAGTCTGTATCTCTGACCTCCTACAAGTGGTTATGGCAGGGTTCACTGTCAGTCTTTGACAGGTGACTACGTTCCTCATTTTCTTTATATCGTGCTAATTTCCTTCTCTCTGTCTCCTCTGTTGGCTGTCTGTCACATGTACCATTTTCCTCCATTTTTGTCCTCTCACCAATTCATATGTCTCACACAGACCCCCCCTTCATTTCCTCATGGTGGATCACCTTCAGCCTTGAGCTTTTTGTTTTTTTTTTTTCCTCTCTCTGAGCTCATTCAAGTGAACACGGAAGTGCTGCCTGGCCCTTGACTGCACGCCTTGTAATAAAAGGCTGAGTGTGAGAGAGACAGCCATTTTGCCTTATCCCCCTTCTAGACAAGCCAACAGGAGACGCAGCCAAATCAGAATAATGAGAGACACAGTGGCATGGACCGACTGGAATGACACACATACTTGTGTGTGGTTCCATGCACGCATGCCTGGACACACACACACGGACGCATACACATTACTCTTAGTCACTGCCTTTCATTGCTCTGCCTATTTGTTTGTTTGTCTGTCCGTATTTGCATCTGCTTATTCATCTGCATTGTCCTGTTGTGGCTTACCAGTTTCAAATGGAGAGTCCCACTTCTCACTCACTCACTCTTTTGTCCACACTGAGTATCCAGCTCTCTGACATGCCTCAAGTTTCATCATGCATGCAGTTCCACATCTGCATGCTCCTCTTTGTCAATTACTATCAAGTCTACATTATGTTCTGAGGAATAATGATGTCAACAATTAAAGATGCTAATTATCTGTGTGTGTGCGTGTGTGTGTGTGTGTGTGTGTGTGTGTGTGTGTGTGTGTGTGTGTGTGTGTGCGTGCAAATGTGATTAGGCAGCATGTGTTCACTGACGAGGCAAATACCCATGACGTATTAAGCTTTTGCAATATCAAACATTAACCTACATTTCCACTTTGTTTACATTTTTATTCAATTGTCTAAAAGGTCTAAAACTGCAGCTGCAGGTTCTGTTTCAAAAATTATCCCATTCAAGTACAATGGGTCCCCTGATACTCACGGTTTGGCACCTGTGGATTTGTATATTTGCAGATTTTTGTCCTTTTTTTTTCTTAATATCTATTTTTTGTTTTTACATATTTTTGGGTTGTTTTGAACTTATTTTTGAAACTTAACACACATTTACACGGTAAACACTTATTTAATGTTAATCAGCATTTTTGGAAGAATTTTTTCTCGTTATAAAAAAAAATACATAAATATATTCATACCTCCCATCAATGCATTTCAATTATATGCCAATTTTCGCTACTCGCGGGCCGGCTCAATCCCTAACCCTGATCCACTGTACTGTAAAACATTTGCTCCATCTACATAACCAAGCTCTGCCATCGGTTCAAAACGTAAGTCCTCGTTAGGTAATTTTATATTGTCAGATGGCCTCCCTAGATAACAGTTTCTTCTTTTAGCCATGTCATTAGCTCACACATTATATAGCACGCACGGTTTTACACCATTAAGTAATTACATACGCTGGTGGGTCACAGGCCGTGTGTGTAATTAATGACATAATCGTGTAAAGCTCTATGCCGTATTTCCTTAGACTGGGATTCCATCCGTCATTAGCATCAACATCTGCATGTGTATATCCCCACTGTCCTCTGTATCTTTTGCCTGAGGTTACACTTATGGCAGAGGAATGGGTTGGGTGGGCTTGTCATCGTTTTCTGGCTGTGCTACAGTGTGAAGACATGTAGAACTGACACGCTGAGCCAAATATACATCTGGCAAGCGAGACGACAAGGGAGGGCCAGGGAAAGATGGAGACATGGGGAAGATACAAGGGAGGACACGTGAGGAGGATCAGGGAGGGATGCAGAGATGAGTGGGGGGGGGGGTGTGCAGTGTACTGTCCAGAGCCCTCCTTCCCCATCTCTGCGTCATTCAGAGCATGAACATTTCTTTAATCACAGCGTAGAAAGCGAAGCCACGTGGAGGACGTGTGTCACACTGCTGTCTACTTGTATCCCCCCCCTCCACCCGCATATCCTCCCTCACCCCACAATGCCGCAATACCATGCCACACGGAACCTCGTCTCTAGCGCTCTATTCGTATCATTTCCTTCTCACTAATATCTTTAACTTTGTTCACTTCCCCCCTTCCCTGCTCTCTCAATTTAGTTCTATTTTCCATGTTTGACACTATTAATGCTTTAAATTAATGGTGTCTTTCATCGCCCTCATGGCACCTTCGCTCTCTCCGTCCTCCCTCTTCTTGAACTGGATGGATACACTTTGTTTACAACGAGAAATGTTGTTCTTGCCTTATTGACCAAGCAGCAGGAAGGAATCGCAGCCTGAGTGCCTGAGATAAGCCTCGCTTGTTTTTCTGACTGTCAGCCTGTCAGGCACGTGTGTGTGTGTGTGTGTGTGTGTGTGTGTGTGTGTGTGTGTGTGTGTGTGTGTGTTCGCGTGTGTGTGTCTCGCACGAGTTGTTGTCATCGCATTTAGAGGGGTTGTTGTGACAAGTCACCCAGCTTTGTCACACTAGAGAACAAAACCGTTTCGTTAGGTCCACATGTGTAAAATATGGATTACAAATACTGTATGTAGCCTTTATACCTCAGGACTGCGTGCAGGCAAATCAAGTTGCATCATACCAAACCTTTACAAACAGGCCTTTATGGACCTTGTTTTTTGCACTGGAGCTCTGGAACAAAAAAGGTCCTTCTGCGAATTGCTCCTGCAAAGTAGAAGGCATCGAAATGTCTTGGTGATCTAAAGAATTACAATTCAAGGGGTCGTTGAGGTCCAGCCCAACGCCTTATTAATTGGTTAGTATGCATTTGCCGGTATATTTGTACAAAAAAACAAAATTTTCTTGCCATTTTTAGCACTCTTGAAACATGTTCAACAATCAATTCAACAACATGAATTCGGACGTTGTCAATAGCACTTTGCACAAGGTAGTACGGACAAAAACCACAGTGACAACAAAAAAAAAAAATGTAATTGAACTACACAGTACTTTTCCATGGTGGAGCACCAAAACAACAAATAGTACACAATTCTGGAAGCAAGCAATAAATATCAGGCAGACAACGCTCTCTTTAAGCCTCTTCGGGTGGGTTTGAAGCTCTATGGGGGACAGAACAAAACATCTTGCAGCCAGAACGCAACATAGCTGCACCCCTTGGGATACCATTTTCCAAAAACGAAGCGGTTGTGCCCAGATTATTTTCAAAAGCCAAATGAGGAGTGTGAGGAGAAGACTGGTGGATAGGGAAAGCTTATGTGAAGTTCCGTCTCAGATGCCAGTTGATGATGGGCGTGGGAACGGGAGAGAGTGACTTCCAGTGAGAACAAAAACTTTTGAGCTTGATCCAACAATGCCAGTACCTATGGATGCAAAGAAGTTGGTTGTACTGTGTGCTTGTTGGATGGTTGTCCATTGGGGGCCATTCGGAATTTACTCCCTATAGAATCAAAATTCGAAATTTTGAGGCTGCACGACCAACTCAAAACCTGTGAATTTGAATGCAGGCAAATGCTAATGAATGCAAAATGGTCATGCGCTGCTATGACGAATGGAAAAAGTTGTGAGACTTAATGCCAAACAAGTACAATTCATCTATTGCTCATCTTGTGCTTGTTACCTCAGTCACTTCAGGTCAGGTATGAATGAATATTATGTTTGAATATATGAACAAGATGTTTGACTTATATTTCTCTGTTGTGTTGCTTCTCTCTCTCCCACAGCAACTGAACCATCCAAATGTGATAAAGTATCATGCATCTTTTATTGAGGACAATGAGCTAAACATAGTACTGGAGCTAGCTGATGCCGGAGACCTCTCACGTATGATCAAGGTAAGTGACTACCCCCAGCAGCAGTCCCAAAATTAAAGAACAGTTTGCATGAATACAGAATGGTCTTGAATATCATCCACACGAGGATACTACATAACATAAATGATCATGTAGAGATCGTTACTTATTGGACCATAAACTCCCCTCCCAACAGTATTAGAAGTTGGGGCGATTTTTTTGTTGGTGGTGTTTCTTGTAGACTGAACACATTTGGAGTTTACATCAAAAGAGGAATACAAGACAAAAGATCACCATTTCAACTTTATTTACTGGAATTTACGTTTGGATTTCAAAACAAAACTGAGAACAATCCTTATTTGTAGCGAACCACTATATTTTTAAGTGAGCCAAAGTATTCATCGGATTCAAGTGAATGAAGCTGAATATGGAGTGAGGCCACACGTCAGTCAGATTTTAAAATAGTTTACTTGCCAAAGAAATGGGTTGATTAAAACACAATTTGCTATTTTCTAAGGGTATCAGATGTACTGTAAACACCCCGAAACAAAAGCTGACATCCTGATCTATTATCTCATATTTGTCTGAAATCAGTACACAGCAAAGATAAAGGAATTGACCTCAGTGTATGGTAGACAGCACTGTTGCAATTGCGCTAACGTGTAGCTCAGATCTCAGTTTCTGTGCACTGGTTGACAAGAAAACATGACTGTACTCTTTCGCTAACTTGGCTTGTGGATGAGATGACATTGATTTGGCAATCATGGACGTGCCAAATTGCAGGCATGAAAATCACTCAACTTTCTGAGAAATTTGCCGTTTTGAAACCAATTTATATACTGTATACACACACACACACACACACACACTGTGGGGGTGGGACTTATACTCTGGAGCAACTTCTGTGTGAAATGATTAACACATTTTTCATTTCACGTAATTTTCACACTAAACCGCAAGAGGGTGCTTGAGACCTGTGTTGACACTTTTCACATTGGCGGTAACTGATAAAAACAACTGACGATGCCTCTGACGTAAGCGGCGTAGAAGAGGAAGCGGCGCATCTTCTCCCTCCGGAGTTCGGGGGGTTCTTTAAAAGTGACACACAGGATGAAGATTTCATTGGGTTTAGTGATTTGGAGTGACACTGAGGGTTTGGTAAACGTGTTAGCATGTTCTTTATGCTATAGTTATCTGAATAACTCTTAATATGTTACGTGAACATACCAGGCACATTCTCACTTTGTTGTTTATGCGTCATCTAACGTTAGGATATCGTACACTTATTCAGTCTGTTGTTCTCTATTTTTAGTCTTATTTGCCTTTCAAGATGACATATCTGTTGTTGGATTTTATCAAATAAAATCCCCCCCCCCCCAAATGCGACGTATATTCCAGTGCGACTTATGTTTTTTTCTTCTTTATTATGCATTTTATGGCTGGTGAGATTTATACTCACGAGCGATTTATAGTCCGGAAAATACAGTATACATAATTTTAAAAAGTAATCAAAGTGGCCGCCGTTACTGAGGGCTTGTTTTCCCTTCGCTCCCTCTGTGTGGGACTCGGCGGGGAGCGCGGTTGTCAGCCAGCTTGCGACATAAGTCATAGTCAAGTCAGGCTGCTTCCGGTCTGCGTATCTCTGTCTTGACATAAATGCGTCATGATGCCATCGTGTACACACTCAAAAAAGGCAGCGTCCCAGTACTGCTTGTATGGAATGGGAGAACTTGTTTCAAACAATTTGTAACTTGTTTTTATCAAGCCAAGTGACTACTGTGCTGAACAGATGAATGAATTCCATCTTGATAAGTCATGTGATGTTTCCAGGAATCAGTGCGTGTCACACTGCTGATCAACATAATGGAGCATGTAGTAAGTGCAAATTTGAGAAAAGTCTCCTTTTTCTTCAACTAGATTGTCCTTAAGCTCCTTAAGGATTATTATCAAACAAGTGACTCATCTCAACACTGAAACACAACTGAAATTAATGATAATCATTCATCAAGATTTATTATAGTTTACCTTTTTAACTGTTTCTGGTCAAGTTTGAAAGTGCCACACTGAAACATTATCTTGACAAAAAAATTATTATATAACAAAGGAAATCAATTGGTTCTTTGTTATAAAGTGAGCTGTATAAAATAAAAATAGAATTTACCTAAATACACTACCTGTCTTTACAATTTTCAATATGATACTCGAATACATTCACCCGCCCTGTTATACAGTTGTATTTTTATTATTTAATAAAACCTTTGCTTGAGGTGTCTGGGATTAACTTGCAACAAATTGCAAGGAATTTGCTCCTCAAATAGTCATTGATCAAAAATTTATTCAAAAATATTAACAAATATTTCGAGCCTTGTATAGCAGAAAGTGAACTGTGAACATACGCGTGGGCCTGATGGGAGCTGTGCATTTGCTAAAAACACAACCGCACATCTTTTCTTTCTTTTCTTTTTTTTTTTTCCCTGGGAAGATATTGGAATACTGCTACTTGATCGTTTTGTGACATCTACAAGCCACTGGCTCATCTGATCAAAGTATTCCGAAACTGAAAAGAAGCATGTTTCCGAATCGGAAGGGAAGTTGGAATAGCAAATGCTAGTAGCCTGACTGAATTAGGGAAGTGATGAATTCAGTATCTGGTACTGTATATTTAAGTTAGAATTGAGCTCTGTTGACATACTCTTAACATTAGCTCCCGTGTCACAGATGCATAACGTTGGTTAACACGGCAGAAGAGATCACCTAACTATCTCAACAATCTTCCGGTGGAAAACTACTTGTTAGTGCTAGCTAGCTTGTGTAGTTAATGGTGAATCACCAAAAAGTAAATACTGATGAACGCTTGTGCTTCTTTCTATAATCTCTACGACAAATTTTCAGGACACGACAGTAAGACACGAGAAGTGTCTTACTGTCTTACTATCGTGAAATCTTCTTCTGCACCATTTTCATCACCATTTGAGTGTTGTTTATTTACATTTATTATTTATTCACTCCATTAAAGTTGTACTGTTGCGTATTTCATCAGAGAAGTTGTCAGTTTCATTTCTTCTATTGCATAATGTGCACGTATACATGGATACTTTATTATACATTGATTCTTTCTGATACCGTCACCCATGACCTCTTTTAATGCCTATATTTTTATTTTAAAAGAATCAGTGTGCGCCTCTGTACTGCAACAATTGGGCTAGTTGACCCCAGTCATTTCAAGCATAAAAGTTTTCTGTCAAATTGCTTTTTTTGGGTGGGGGGCTTTAACCTAGCATCTCTTCACCCAATAGGACACCCTTTTACACAATAAAAGAATACTAGATTCTGAATGACTGATGACTGAATGAATGAGATATTAATTTGTACATAGTTTGGTACAATGTCATATACTGGAGTACTTTGTATGAAACGCATATAAATCATCTCCAAGGATAAATTCGTCATCATATTGCCTCCCTGTTGAGTGTAATGGAATGTTGACTTGGAAATAACATCCCAGACATATGGCCTTGTATAACTGAAGGATTGGAGGTAGGAGGTCTGTGGTTTTGCGAGACTGGGTTTTTGGCTACCTGGACAGTGAGTCAAACTGAATCATACATTCGGCAATGTAACCAAAAACCAAATATTATAGGACCCCTTATAATCGTCTTTAATCTAAATAGGATGTGTGGACATCTGTCTTAAATGGAGAAAGGATGTTGGGAAGAATACAATGATGATCATGGGCAATAAAGTTACACATGTTTTAAATGTGCACAGACTTCAATGTGAAAAACTGCCGTGTATACACTCATACGGTTATATTTACATTTAAACATGCTAGTTGATAATACTTATATGCAGTGTTTTTTTGTTTTGTTTATTTTTGTCTTATGAACATTAAGTTGCACCATTTCACGCTTGCCAAGTCACACTTGCGACCTTTAGTGTAGAGTCCCCATTTAAATGTTTGGAGGTCAGGCTTCAAACCTTTCTTCTAACCGAATTCAGCAGCATCATGTGTAGCATACCTAGTAATTCAGATCTTATCTCTAATCAGTTCCTGGAAGCTGGCCGGCATACTCCCCAGACACGTCACCCATGAATCATGTTTGAGATGTTCTGCCGATATTCAACAACTTTGCTTAGCCATTGAATAAGTGTGTACAAACCTTCACAGGCGACAATGGGGCTGACCGATTTATTGCTTTGGGATGGAAATCCCTGATCCCAGACACAGCAACCTGAAGCGGCATGCTACTTGTGACAGGAGACAAACCTCTGAACTGGTTAAAAGCATTTTGCACCTCGAGCTGTCAAAATTATTAGATTAATCAACAGCTAATCGATAATCAACACATGTATGGTGGTAAGCAGTAGGTTTTGTTTTATTGAGCTCTATGAAAACCCTTGAAAAAGAGCTGCCTTCCTCACTCAGCCCTTTTTGTGTCGGTGCATTATTAGAGTAATACCTTTTAAGGTTTTGATGATGCGATGTAGTTTTCTGTCCTCTTTGTAAATGTTACTGTACATGCTTGATTTAAAGAAAATCGGGAAGTGATTAGAAAAACAGTTTGCCAGAAAAATCACAATTCAATCTTTTCCCCAAATCGCTATGGCCAAGACCACAATCAACAGCCTGATCGCCAAATTGTATGAGGAGATGTGTTGCACTGTGTAAGGCAAATGGTGGTCACATCAGATATTGATTGGTTTTGTTTTATTTCCTGCCGTAATGACAAGAGAAATCGCCAGAAATCTCTATTCTCAGAAGTGTCTCTTAACGAACAACTACCTCTTGCTGTCGATTCAATTCCATCACGGATACAGTCAACCCACCTCAATCATTTTGTAAATTATAGCCAATTAGCACACGGGTAATAATAGTTTACTTACGAAATACCGAACATCTACGAAATATGTCAGAGAAGTTCCTGGACTTGTGTCACCAAAGATATATTTCAAACCCAAACTACAAAGTAAAAGTTTTCCCCTGTCAATGTGGGCCAGACGATGAACCAGCACGCCTGCAAAGACATTCCGCAATATTTCCGTCATTCAGAACGTGAGAAGATGCTGAACTTGTGGCAGTACAACTTGTGGCTGTTTCACCAAGACGCCTGCTCACTCCCCTTGAGCATCCGACTGTTCCTGACAAAGAATACCAACGTGCTTGAGCACCTTCCCTTCTCACCCGACCTGGCTTCATGTGATTTTCCCACACATCTCGCGAGCTCAAGGAGGTCACCAACGGGACCCGTTTTGAAGATCGCCAGGTCAACGGAGCTGCATAGGATCCCGGAAGAAACCATAAAGGTGTGGCAGAAAACGCTAGTGTAACAGTATCTAGGAGAATGTGTCACACTCAAGCAGGATTACTTTGAGTAGGAAAAATGTGTAATTTGGATTTGAAAATGTCTTTTGTGATTATTAGTCCTGTAACTTTTCTGACATACCATGTCGATGACCCAAGTTTGTCTGCTAGCTGTTCATGTTTATGTTGAAATGAGGTGGAAGAGAAGAATGTGGTAGCTCAAAAGTAGTCTCAATTACCCTCCTGTGGTTCCCCTTGTTTTTCATTTTGAACTTAGCTGAAGCTCATGTTTTTATTATGCCTGCCAGTCAGGCAAATTAGTGGTTTGCATATATGGAGCCTGGACTTCTATGCATAAATGACGCTGCGGCGTTGTATCAGCACAGCTCGACAAGCCGTTTGGAGTCATATTCAGCAGTTTCACATCCATACCGTTCAACACATAAAATTAGGAGAGGCGAGGATGAGTTGTATGAGAGTGAACATGGCAGCCTGAAGGAAGCATGCAGGCATGCGCGTGCGTACACGCATGCACGCACGCATTCCGTCAGCAAGGAGTTTGCTGCCACATTCATGAGAATCGGGCTGCAACTAATGATTATTTCAATAGGTGATTTTCTTCCAATTGTTTTTTGATCAAGAAATTCATTGTTTTTAATTTCCATCCCTTTAAAAATAAACTGAAAAAATACTTGAGCTACATACTTTAAATATATTGAGCAGAACATCCCATGACTCTTAAATAATTTGAGTTATGTATATATTTTTTCAAATGCTGAAGATGTTAAGACATACTGTGTGTGTGTTTACATATAT